TAATGCTCCCCAATGCTCCTTAATGCTCCCCAATGCTCCTTAATGCTCCCCAATGCCCCTCAATGCTCCCCAGTGCTCCCCAATGCCTCTCAATGCTCCCCAATGCTTCCCAATGCCCCTCAATGCTCCCCAGTGCTCCCCAATGCTCCCCAATGCCCCTTAATGCTCCTCAATGCTCCCCACACTCATTGTTCATTACCCCAACATGATCTACACACCACATAGTATTGCACCATCTGTTTGGTATATAATTTTTTCCTATTGAACAGTATTATATTATTGTTGTATTATATTGTGTTACATCATCGGCTGTTCCCTGGAGTATATGTTAATAAAGAAAGCACTGCTTTGGAACTAGAGAACTAGTCCCCCGCCATCCCTCCAAGAGACTCATACTGTAGGTAAACCTCAACAAGGATGTGCCGTGGGTCTCCCCCCCTCCACACTGCACATACCTGCCGGCTTGGAGCACTCCCGAAATGGTGAAGAGGCCGAAGTCGGTTATGACAACTTTGCCGTTGTCGTAGAAAACATTCTTAGACTTCATGTCCTTGTGTAGAATCCCTTTGGCATGGAGGTATCCCATCCCCTGCAGGGAGGAAGAGGCTCGAGGTCACTCTCATAAAGCCCCACTCTCCTCCTGGACCATCACGGCAGAATTTCATACCCACCTTCACCATTTCCTGCGCAATCTGTCGGGTTTTATTGACATCAAGGACCACCTTTGCATCCCTTACTACGGAGTAAAGTGTCCTTCCTTTACATAAGCTGAAAAGCAACAAAATGGCAGGGTCGTCAGCATTACACATGTAATTCCTGAGGACAGTGTTAGCACCGAAAGTGTTTTTCTTTCAAATACCCTGGATAAGAAGCATTTGGAGAACTGGTCTTGTAATATAGTGTGCACTGCAAGGTCCAAGCCATTAGGAATGTACCCTAGTCATCAACCTCCCCTCCGGCCTTTAAGTATTCTCACAATGGCCCCTAGGTGGCAGCATCTCATACCCCCCTAGCCGTGCCATTCTGATGAAGGCTCATCCAGACCTTGTAAAGTGGAACTGGGACGAGGTACTGGGTGGAGACAAACAGGCCCAGGGTGCCACCTTTGCTGACTTAATACATATTCATCAGGAATAAGGAGAAAATTAACCAAGGGGTGTTTTTCTCTCTATCTGTCTCTTTCGATCATGTCTGTCATGCCCTCTTCCAGGTGGTTGCTGGAAACGTTCCTGTAATTCGCCAGTGGTTATTTCTAAAATGTTGACCGTCCACCTCAGTCATGCTGCACAGTGTCTGAAATTTTTCTCAGACATTTATTTACATGCCATTAATTAATCTGCATTCTGTGAAAAGAAATGCTTGGGTAAAAGCCAATCATCGAAACCAGTGAAAGCACTGGAGAAACTCAATGAACTCCTGCTTTTACATTAAGCCGGTCGCATTGTACACAGCATCAATTTTGCATGTTTGTCCACTTGGAGCGAATGATGCGAGATGCGTTGCATATATAAGAAGCGACATCTCCCCAATATACAGCAAATTTGACCAATGTGGTGACATTTCCTTTAATTTTCATGGCCCGGTACTCAGAGGTTCAGAGAAGTGGGAGGTCTATCAGGTCCTATCACACTTCCACGTAAAAGAATAAATTTGCCCCCAACCCTCCCCCAATAAAGGACAGAAAAACATAGACACTTGATGGCTGAAAAACCCATCGGTCTTAGAAAAATCTAGGAACGTATTTCCATGTCTCCTGGGACCCCATGGGACGATCTTGCTGTTTATTCCCCCCGTCTTCGTCGTCTCGGGCGCCATGGTCCTCGCCCATTGATTTGCGGCAGCAGAAACCCGGAGCACAGATATCCCCTGTGGTGCCGTATGTGATGTATGGTATGAGAATGCAGGCCCAGCCAGCCCATCTGCTAAGCAAGGAGGCAGCCGAGTCACATGACCGGCAGAGAAGCCGCCGTTTTCTGAGTGGCTTCCTTTTTCAGTATTCTTCCTTCTTTGTTCAAACCTTTGTTCGTGTTTTTTTGTTTCAGTCAACATTTTACTGAATTTGCACTGTTAACCGTATTATGGATTGCCGAAAAGCCACTTACGCCAACAGCTGCTAAGCATAATCTTCAACAACCGCACACTACACAGAACAATACTTCTGAAATATTTGTTACAACAATTAGCTGCTTCCCCCTGTGTTTTCCCTCTTCCTTTGTACTGTTTGCTCTGCCGCTAAGAAAAAATCCATCATTCTCAGAAGACCACGCTGAGAAAAACAAAAAAGCTTATCATCGCAAATTACTTCTGAGCAAACAGCTACCGGAAAATTCCGGTAAGCCGCGTCACGCGTTAAATAACAACGGGGTTTGGGTAATGCACCATATTTATTGGGCTTTATTACTTTATTCTAGCATAAATATCATATTAAATTGGTCATTGTTTTTTAAAGGAAAGGTCAGTATGGGGCTAAATGCAGGCACAAATCGCTGTAACCGCATCACTGACATCCGGATGCGCTCAACCTTGGATTGTGCTCAAGCTGTCAGAACTGGCTGACCAGGATGGACAGTTTATCAGCTTGACCAACTTCAGACGGTTCAGCTATTGGACCAGCAAAACAGCTGATGTCCTGAACAAGACATAGCAAGAGTCCATGCAGCGAGGCAAACCAATCACGTTAACATTTCAGAAAGAAAATCTAGCATTTTGACTATTTTGCACTGTGGCATGATGGGGCAATGATTAGCACTGTTGATTCACACCGATGGGACCTGGGTTCAAGTCTCTGCCATGGCTCCATGTGTGTGGGGTTTGCATGTTCTCCCTGTGTTGTTGTGGGCTTTCCTCCCTCCCATGGTCCAAAAACATGTGGAGGTTAATTGAGGTTACCAAATGATGTGTGAGTGTGGCCTGTCGGGGGTTGGTGCCCCATCCTGGGCTGTTTCCTGCCTTGTGCCCATGGGCTCTGGCCCTCTGTGACCTTGAACAGGATATCTGGTTATAGAAAATGGATAAATAGATAGATGCATCTCTGACAGGCAGAAATGTTTCCAAGAGTTGAGGTCAGTTGGGTCCATGCTCTTAGCACAATCAATGGGCCAGGTAGGAGTAATGCCAGGCAGGCTTCAATAAATTGGATCTCCAGATTCTTCTCTGGCTGACAGAAAGCCCAACAGCATATAACCAGTTTGGGTTCTGCTGTAGATTGAGGCAGAGCAACAGTCTAAAAGTTGCTCAAAAGCAAGTATGGAGCCCTCTAGTAAATTGGGCTGGCGAGCTTCCCACACCGACCGAGATTTTGTTTGAACTAGTAGAAGAGACTCTCTGGCCAGTGCGTCACGGAGCAGTTAATGACATCACACCACAACCTTCTTCATTTCCAACCCCCAGCCCATTTGGTCAGCAGAGTCTCACTATCAGCAGTGGTGGGCATCCATTTTGGGGTCAATTTGGTGATGACTCAAATTAACTAGCCCACTTTAATCAAATTTCGAATTGTTATTTTAACTATCAGTCAGGTATTAAAGCTCAGTTTCACTCGATTGGACTGCAGATTGCAGAGAATCTACAAATGTATTATACAGTGAATCATTACCATATCTACCACATACAGGGGAGCAGGTTTTTCATATAGTCTTATGTATAAGTACAGAAAGCACAACAACTGTCAACAAAATCTAGGGGTAGGGGATCCCTTTACTAGCAAATTCAGTGATGATTGGACTTATATTTATATTCATAACACGATTAGCATCTACGTGTAGCCTGCAAGCTCACCTGGTGATGATGGCCAGGTGCGGGGGGCTCATGCAGGCACCCATGAACAGCACCACATTCTCGTGCCGCGTGTTGCGGTACGCCATCACCTCCCGCTTGAAGGCCTTCAGCTGGTCCTCGTTGTCGCGCTCGATGTCGATGAGCCGGATGGCCACCTCGCCGTGCCAGCGGCCGTGAAACACCTGGCCGAAGCGGCCCTTTCCGATGAGCTCGCCGACCTCCAGCTGCTCGAACGGGATATCCCACTCCTGCAGGAAGATGCTGGTCTGGCTGGCCTTGCGTGGGAAGTTTCGCGCCGACAGGAGTGAGAGGTTCATCTCCTCGAACTCGTCCTCCGACACCTCCGCCTCGTCGTTCCCCTCCTCGTTCTGCAGCACAGAGGCATCGTTTACCTGACTGCTCGATTACTTTGCTTCTGCCGCGGACGTGAACCACACTCTGTTATGCTCTCAAAATACCCCGAAAGAAACCATGAGTCCCTTCAGGAGATCAAAAAACAGGCCTTAAGTCTGAAAAGAAAGCTTAAGCACTTCTTTATATTTCATCAGCATGTGGTGTGTTTATGTTTTTTTAACTGTGTTTCTGTATTTAAAAAGCTACTAGTCAAACTATTCCGTATTTCTAATGTTATTCCTTCATTGAACTACAATATAAAATCACTGCGTTATTAGTCTGAAGGGCACATTTACCTGAAACCAGATTCCGAACATACTGGAGCTTGCAAAAACATTTAATAATTATACTGGATATAACTAGGAATTAGGTGCTCTGACATCAACAAATAAACATTATAATTAGAAATAAACATTAAAATTATGTAATCCCTTTCAGCTGAAGTTATTCTAGGATATTGCTTGATCATTTTAAATATTTAAGTACAGACTGAGTCAAGGTAAGACCTTCCTCTTAAGGTTACATTTATGCTGGTCAATGACTCACCTCGGAAGTAAGTTCCACTTCAATTTTCAGGAGGGGGTTTCCTTCATTACTGAAAGCAAACAGACACATTTATGAGGCGATTCTTTCAGGAGATTGTCGCACCCGGACTGGACAGGCACAGAATGCTTAAGTGGGCAAAAAGTAGAATGTAGGAGTCAAACAGGGCTATGGAACAATGTGAGATAAAGGATCCCCCCAGATTTTGATGAAAGTGGATCTGACTGTTACCAGAACCTCTCCAGAGGCCCGATGTAAGGGTGGGAAATGGAGGATGTGGGAGTTCACCTGCTTGTTCCTCAAACACCCTATCTGCCTCATACAAAACAGTGATCAGAGACACCCTCTAAGATCTGTGTGAAGATGACTGCTTTTAAGTGGGTCCCATAATCAGGACTATGTCAAGAGCAATATCTTTTGGACAGTCTTCTGAGTCTTTTTCAGTGTGGCGTAGAACAGGCTGCTGCCACGTCCAGACCTGCTCTCTGAGACGGTGGAGAACACACAAGGCCATGTTGAGAAGACACCCGCTCATCATCGGGGCGTCAGCAGACCATAAATGTGAAGAATGAGCAGGAATTCTTGTAGCTTCTGGTGAAAGTTCAAGAATGCGTTTGTCGTAGTACTCCATGATTTAGAATAAATAAAACCATTTCCCAGATCATATGGGATTCTCACAACGTAATTAACTGTCTATGTCCAGAATGTTCCATCTGGTGCATGGAGCTCTGTAATGAGGCTACCTCTCTCTAACAGACAGAGACAGAGGCAAAAGTGAAAAAGAAAGCCAAACACAAATGAAGATAATTAATGGCAGTAATTACTGCAATTACTGCATACCGCCATTCCAATATTACAATTAATAACACCACGACACACTTTGAATATGTCGGCCTTTGAAGGGCCAGCGTGCATTCAGATGATAGCAGGCATTTCAGCACAGACTAATTAGCAGAGAGCCATGATATCAGTCCCACGTTTACTTAACTTCCCTAAAAAAAAAACTGAGGTTTATAACCATAATGTGAACAAAAGGCACTGAGCAATCAGCATTTCATGGCTGCTTTCCCATGCCTACCAAACAACAGGAACATGGAGTTCACACTCTTAAAGCCCATTTCATTAATCTAGCTACCACAGCAAAGCGGATGCGACGTTCGTGAGCGTGACTGGAACTATAAGGACACAGAGGGACACTGTTCTCCAGCAAAACCTATCCTGTGTGTCACTTCCTGTGGGTCACTTCCTGTGGAATTCTGCAAAACTGTTTGGATATATATGAAAACACTCAAACTCCCTCAAAAGGCCATCAGATCTTTTTAAGATGTTTTTAAGTTGAGGATGTAGGTTAATTTTTAAATGCTTTTCCTCGTGGGAAATGTGTCGGGGGGAGGGGGGGTTGTTTATACAATCTGATTGCTTCTGGGCACAGAAGCTGGAAAATGTCATCAGGCTCCTATTTTTGGAGGTAAATTGTTTAATGCATGTGTTTTGCATATTATTTAGTTCTCATATTATATATTACAGAAATATTTAAATAATACTGTGTGTTACCAGTGAAATGCCATATGTGGCTGAAGCCAGAATCGTTCTAGCTGATGTCCCAGAAAGCTCACTGCTTCCTCAAGAAGAGGAGAAACGAGAAGGCTCTGTGGACCTCAGTCTCACTTATAAAGTATCCTGTTGGCATCACGTGGCATTGTGACATCACCTGTAAGGTCGGGCGCCCCTTGAGAAGCATGCAAAGCAGGGGGAGGCCAGTCCACCATAACCCAGAGTCAAAGCCCGTGTGCACCTCACTCCCCCATAAATCTCTTGTAAGTGGCTGGGAGATGGTCTGATTAGGAAGTAGATGATCTCACCCTGGTTCAGAGAGAACAGGATGCAGGACGACTTGTGGAGCTCGGTTTGGCACCTCGGGTGTGACGTCTGGATGGGAAGACAGGTGAGATGAAAGCTGAGGCTGATGTCACAGTAAGGGAACCAAACACTGGGACAAAACTTATGTGAGACTCGCCTCAGGGCAAATCTCCCACAATATATAACCTCAGTCGCATCCCTTCTAGTTAAATATTTATCAAAGTTTATCAAAAAAAAAAAAAAAAATCAAAGTTGCCTGTGAAGCCAGTAATCAAGGGACCAAATGAACTGTCCAGCTAGACATAGCTTTTAAAGGATAACATCAAAAGAGTCTCCCTTGACTAGAAGTGGTGCATTGTGGGAATGGATAATGATCAATTATGGCACACTCACCTGGAAAGATGAACTGCTGCTTATATTTGAAGTAATGAGAGGCTGGGGAAAAAGGCAGGCAAGACACAGGAAGAGGCACGTTAGCTGACCCAGGGGGTGTGCAAAATGGCCAAATGTGTCAATCAATGCTTACATCATTCAGTAGGCCAGTGGGTGAAGGAAGTCACATGACAGATGTGAAAAGATTACTAGTATTTAAGATGAAACCCACATTCCCAGAACAGCGATGCTGAAATAAACTTTTAATGATAAAATCATGAACAGTAAGAGAAGCAGATCACATGGTTTATATTTCATGTTTCTGTGGATTATTTTTTTTAATTATCATATTTATTTATCAAAATGATTTTAAGTACTATTTATGACCTATGCAGATTCATTACAGGCAATATATTACCCTGGAACATGCAGACCGATGTCTATTACATCAGGATGCCTACCTGTCAAGTTAAATTGTTTCTGTTGCCTTGTGCACTGGGGGGACGGGTGTAAGGGTGAGGGGGGCGTGGCACTGGGAGGAAGAGGTGGTGCTGGGGACGAGGGCGTGGAGGAAGTCGTAGATGAGGGGTTACTGCTGGAGTCTGGCTGGTAAGGAACGGGAATGTGATCCTGCATAAAGACAAAGGGCCATTCAAATTCACATCTCTGCTCGTGTACATAGTTTCAGCAGCCACTTATTTTATAAAATCTGTGGAAAGCATTTCCACTCTAAATGCGAGCAAGAAAAGGAATCTGATGATGTACTTGCAGGAATATTGCTTGTTGCAAAGGTCATTTCCAAGTGGTAACTGAACAGATCATCACATTTACTTTTTTGAGACCTTACACTATTGGGCAAAATTTTTAGAGATTGCAGAATTTTATTCCAGTTACTCCAGTCACTTATTTAATCTTCCGATGTATGATACTTGTAAAGATTCTATTATTGTTTAGAAACATTACCGCCAATATTCGTGTAGTAATTTTTAAAGCACAATGCCAAAAATGCTATGAATTTCCATCATTTTGGACACTAGTGTAACTCAGAGTAATATATTTCTGGTTGACACTGCTGCTCACACCTCTAGGGTGGGGGGCTTGAATCCTGCATGCTATCCCCAGTTTCCTCCCACAGTGCAAAGACAGGTAGTCAGGCTAACTGGTTGTCTCTGTTCCCTGTTTAATTTAAGTTCCTGCTCATTTGTTTGCCACATTCTATAAAGCTATAAGGAAGACTTTCATACTGTGGTAAAGCACCCTGTTGGCAGTAGCTTTCTCTTAGACCAGTGTTTCCCAATCCGGTACTTGGGGACCCACAGATGGTCCATGTTTTTGCTCCCTCTCAGCTCCCTGCCAGACAACCCACATTTTTGCTCCTTCCCAGCTCCAACCAGGGGCAAAAACATGGACTGTCTGTGAGCCCCTGAGGATTGGATTGGGAAACACTGTCTTAAACCTACAAAAACATTTCGGCACGAGGCCCCCACCCACTCCACAGAGCCGGCCCGCTAAGCATCAGTTACTGCTCCGCCATACAGACAACTCATTTGAGCCATATTCCGCACATAATCTCTCATGGCTAAAATGTGCATATAATCAGGCTGTAACCGCTAAAGCTATCTTTTTCTGAGCAAAAGGATTTTTGTCATTACACTACAGATTCCTCTTTGTTACAGAGACTTCCGCGGAGTCTGACAGTGGAGCCAATCTCCATTCTTATTTGTCACGTAAACATGTCTCCAATTCCCATGAAGAGAAGACCGCAAAGAAGTGCCACAGCCGCTGGCCTGTAATTCTAAGTCTCTTATTAGTGGTCGAGGGTCCCCAGCTATAGTCTGCTTTAATTCAAGGGTTGCCAGGTTCAAACAAGATTGAAAACTCCTGTTTAGGGCTGGGCAATACATCAATAAAACATTGTATCATGTTTATGAAAATATATCGTCATCAATTTGAATATTTTAGGTATTGTGATATATCCTAAACACGAGTCATCTTGCTCTCCTATGAGACACAGAAGTAAGAGCAAAGCTCTGGAGGTTAGCCACATTTACAGACCCCCAAAGCAGTTTTCGGGGGTAAGAGTCGTGTTCAAATGCAATACAATGGTGCTATTACTCTGCCAGGCTGCCATGACATGAATCGGCAACCATGTGATAACTTGCACCGACTGCTAGCTGCTTCTCTAGCTAATATGATCAATGTTCCTGTATCAGTGTTACCTATTATTTTTTGTTTCTTGTTTAACAATAACAAAGGATCCAAGGATCAAAGACAGGCAGCAGAAGATTAATCTGTAATATTTCACTCCTGACCAACAGAAATTTCAAAATATGGAATCTGTACCCAGTGCAGAGTTCCCAGCTCTGACTCATTGTCCTTGACACCTGAAATTTGAGACTCAGTCTCAGACAAGACTGCATGGTAACCAGCCTCCTCAGAGATCATGGTTTTAATAACATAGTTCCCCTGGCGCTGCGTGCGATTCTCTCAGGGTTTCAGAGATGTCTGTCTAAGTTGCCACAACATCTTTGATAATGACAGCACACAACTTCTTGGTTTGATAGCTTTTGTTCCATGAGTTTGTGTTTGTTATGATGTCCCTCCATAGCCAACTTTGAAACAAATGAAACTATGAAAAATGAAAATAATCAGGACAACTGAAAGGTCCTCTTCAAATGGCCAATCTATAGAAATACTTTCAATTCCCAGTCTTCATTTTCCAAAATTCACTTTTATAAAATAAAACCCAATGAAAACTTTTCAAAAATAAACCATACTGCAATGACAATTACTGACAAACAAAATACTTAACAATTAAATTACCTGTCATGTTCACCACAGGAAGTGCCTGATAACTTTAGCAAAGTATTGTGATATGATCTACTTGTTTATTCCACGATTTTTCTATTCTTTAGGCTGAACTCTCTACCACACACAGAGGGATACAATTACACTGAACGTCAACTCTGATGTACGGACTCTTGAAGCAAAGATGAGAGAGAGCATCTTGATAAGACTGTCATACATGTAATTTCATGTCAAGGGAACGCACCTTGTTGATCTTATTGGTCTTGGGGAGCGTCTGACTGATGTGCAAATCTGTGTACCTGAGAGGGTTGTTGATATCGCACGGTACAGACTCAGTCCTGACCAAGCGAGCTGCAGAAAACAAGATGGAACCACTCAGGCTAAAATTTGCAAAGAAAGTGATTTCTATACAAAACCTGATGTACCTGAAGTGTTTGAAGTTTACTTGAAGCCAGCCTTCAATACCGTAAACTTGGAAAGAATGCTAGTGCAATCAGAAATGTACACCTGCATAAATCAAGAATTACCTTGGGTCGTTCCTTGGTGATCTATTGAGGAAAAAAAGAGAAAGGAGAAAGATTTATAGAGACCACTTCTGAGGCAAGACAAGACTGACATCAGAAAACGGAAGAACTCCAACTAAACTCAAACTTCTGCTGTTTTCACGTACTGAATTTTACACGATGAAGCACGAGATGTCGGTCTGATATACATACAAACCATCAGTTGGTCAGAGAACAGGCTTTACCAAAGTCAGCATGAACTTCACTTCCATTTCAAGATATTCTGATACCTTGAAATGAAAATACCTACCTATCGCATCCTATTTCGAGAGCTTGTAGAAGTTGACATCACTTTACAAATGAACTATGTTGTGATGTGAATTAATCCATAAAACAGTAAAGAGCCACAAAACTCATGGATCAGTAAAATTTGTGAGATTTGTTCATAACTCTAAACATGCTTTCATTTGTAAGAAATGTAGCCTACATAAAGAAAAAGTATGTTTCAAATGCTGTGACCTCAGAATTATGTAAGAATATGATAAAGCACTATTCAGCAGGTACTATGAACGTAGCACAAAAGTTAACCCGAAGATTATATCATATTCAAACACCACAAAATGCACTTTTCTTTTACCCAATCAATTCTTTTGACAACCAAATTAATCTTGTTTTTAAGAGAATGTGACTTATGGAATAAAAGCGTTCAGTATCTGAGCTTTCCAGGCTAAAACAACTGCCTGAGTATGTGATTCTATTTATGCAATGTAGCAGAATATTAATTATAGGAACAAAATAATAACATAATTCACTGCCCCAGTATACCTCCTGTCATATTCCATTAAGCATTTTCTTCTTTGTAACCTTCTATGAGTTCCAACTAAATTTGGAACTGTGAAATCAGCAAACGAAACACTTTCCTAAATGATTTCTGGAAACTCCCCTGTTCAATGGGGTGTGCTGAAGTCACGTGATGACTCTCCTGAAGACTGAGATTTCTTTTGTCTCACCCCCAGTGAAAGTTCCTGGGCCTGATCCATTAGAAAGAGATACAGTCTGTGTATGTGTACAGCCTCTCAAAAAATGACAGCTAAATCGCATACCATGCAAAACTAATGTGAATAGAATACATTCACCATATTACCACACGTGACCAGAAACACCCCCCAATCCAGATATTGAGGATGTATTTTTTTGCCAATGAGACTCCGCATACGGCTGCTACGGCCAGCTCTCCAATGACATCACTTGGTGAGGCAGCAGTTCATTCTGTGTCGACCCCACAGCCAATCGGGGGCCGGAACACCTACCTCCACGGTGGATGATCAGTAAGTGACAAGGCGGAGCTTCTTTGGTGCACTTGTTGTGGCACTTCAACCTACACAAGCACAAGGAAAGATTAAATTACCACAGAGTTTTCACAAAATGCTAAATGCAGTCCTACACATTTAAACAGGACAAAAGTAACTATAAAAACAGCCTGGATAAAAAGGGCCTTTGCACAAATGCAAAGTACCCATACAGCCAAAATTCTTACTCTTTACATTTTTATTTTATCTCACTGGCACAATGAAAGACCCTTTAACCTTTACATGGTCATTTCGTTTTACTGTTGTAGAACATTTGAAAAGAAAACTGAATCTGTACATCTGCCCCTCAATTTTCAGTAGCTATTCAGTAGGGTTGTGCTAATCTCAGGGGCTCTGGGTTGCCTCCTGGGGACAGAGATTCTGATTGAACTGAGGCAGATGTCTTTGGGGAGAAATCAGGAAACCAACCCATGCACTACAGAGCTGGATTCGTGTTCAAACCTACAACCTTGAATAAACAACATGTATGCTCCTTTTGGCGTTGACACAAAACTAGATGCAGGCATATTACAATTATTGTAAATTATAATGCATGTTTTGATGTAAGCTGGATTTGTACATTCATCCCACAAATTTCCTTTTACAAATAGGCTACATTCCAACAGCTGTATAGTGCTCATTTCCAAAACACACCGAGACATTCAAAACAGAAGAATTTCCCAGGCAAAACTTGGGAAATTACACTAAATAAATATAAGCATAATTGGTTCAGTGTGACACAAAGAAAATTAATTGTCTTGCATTTAGTAAAATTGGCAGACTAAACCGTTTATTCAGATATGTTATATTGATGATTAAAGCTATGTAATGGGCTTTTCAGATGCGCTTATTATGAAATTTAACCTTCAAATTATATAAAAATGTCACTGAATCCAAAAGATGAAAAACAAAAGATGATGTTAACCCCTGTATCCGTGGGGATCTGTAAATCAGGAAATTAAATATTAAAGGATAATTGTCGCTATAATCTATAATTTTCTGAACTATCAAGGTTCCAGATTTTCTGCTTTCCTATTTAATTACTCCTCCTCTTTTGCTAATTGATCTTATGAAAAGCATTTAAAAGAAGACCTTTGTAAAGTAATACGGCAAGTCTTTTTCAATGAAAAAGTTTTACATGTATCTTCACACTTCATTACCAAGGACTATTTCATTAGGATATCTACCTTTGTTTCTGAACGAATAATGTGAGAAATATTAGTGTATGGGAAATAGTTTATTGCCGCGATACTATAGATCGAGGGGGACAATTCAGAGTGAGCAGTTTCCAGGTAAATATCAGAACCTACACAATTTACTGTCAGGATCGGTCCCTGTCTTGTCCCGTTCTGTCTGACATTTCTGTCCGTCAGTTCCCTGTTTGAGCAGAGGGTGTCACTGGTCATCCCATTCTATCCCTTGTGTTTCTTTAGGTTTATTCATCATTCACAGTCTTCACAATTACCCTTCTTCCCTGGGCAGATACATGGCTGAATGGGCCGAGGACGTGGCTAAGAACCATGCACCCCAAACCATTGTGAGTTTTTGAGGTTCATGTTTATGTATTCCATTGTGGTCCATGTGTTTAGTGTCTTTGTTCCTGGTCTAGCGTGCCTGTGCCACGTCTTGTATCTATGTTCTGTGTCCCTAGTGTCTCCTGATTTTTGAGTCCTTAGTTCTTAAGACATTTAATGACCCATACCTGTCCCATGCTTAGAATTCATTACTGGTATATATAAATCCCTGCCTGTTCTCTCTTTCCTTGTCGGCTACTATATACTGTATGTTGAACGTGTTTCATGCGTGTTGCTGTGTTGAAGGTGTTAGATGTTTCTCAGTGTAACCCTCACTTAGCATCCAGATGAGTCCTCTACGTTCCCCCATGCTTGTTTCTAGTCTCTGTTAGTTTGTGATGTAACCTGTCCGGCATTGTTCAGACCCATTGTGGTCATTTTTGGGTTGAGAGTCCTTTGAGTTGCGTTTGAAGGCTCCCTGTGTCTTCAAACTGCCATTGTGAACTGTCTATCATGCCCAGACTTTACAGTTCACTACATTTTCCATCATGTACATCATCATACTATTTGACAGATGAAGCGAAAAATAGAAGTGATAGATCCATCTGAGTTCTTCCATGAAGACTAAACCATTGCCTTGTATATATGAGAATGTTGGGCTTGGCCACGACAATGAAGGGGTGACAATGGGGTTTTCCAGTGAGTATTTCAATGTCATATTACTTACTTGCAGTTTTTACACTTAAGTCCAAACAACATTCCTTTTCCACACACTACGCATGTTTGAGACATCCAGTACTTGGTTGAAAATCTGTCAAAAAAGACAATAAAAGGTTGTTTTATTTAGTTACAATGGGATTCACTCATTCAAGACAGTTGTATATGCCTGGGGAATTTTTCACACTGTGATTAAAAGAGAGAAATACTATTATCTGTAGCCATTTGAAAATACCTTATATTGATAAATAATTGCACAAAGGATCAAACTGTAAAAGTAACTGTGTAAGACAGAAGTGCCTATACTGTACATTTTGACCATATTTTATGTAGCCTTCTAGATGATAGCTGCCTCGCTTTATTTCTCCCCAGAATTCTTAGCTGCTGCCATAGCCTGAAAGGTACTAAATGGCAAAAGCATTGCTACATCAACACAGTGAAGATTAAATTGAGGTTATAACCAATAGGGACTGCTGTACACACCGCCATGTACATTCCGCAGCAATGGGCAAAATTCACCCAAACACACTCCAGCCCTTTAGCTGAACAGCTTCCAGAAGTCTTCATTTTATTTGCCTTTACCTACCGAGGCTGGAGACGAGGCCAGCAGGTAATGGATTATGACTAATGTTGTTTGACAGAATCCAAATATCTTCATTAGGCATGCCATTTCACCTCATCTCGGTGCTAACACAATTTAGGGCCACCCTCTCCTATGCGGGGAGATAGACGCTCTGGTCGCATACATGCTGAAACTTAAAGCGAGACAGAAATCAGCATGCTGGCTGGCCCTACGCTCTACCCTGCCTTGGACACCAAACTAGACATACATCGAAACCCCATCATGAATTAAGCCTCCGGCATCTTTCAAAAAGGGGTCAGTCAATAGGCACTGTAAACTAAGCCATCAGAATATAAACAAGGCTCTGAATTATTACATCAAAGAAGAATTGTACTAGTTTCCAAATATCTCCTGGGTGTTAAATTCACATACGATACACAACACTACAAAAATGCAATGAGTATAATTAACACATTTCAATCTTAGATATGAATGATGTATGGATTATACAAAGCTCTATGTGTACCTGCATTAATGTGTGTTGACAAGGCCACCTTTCCCCACAGTGCAACATTAGCTCCAATGCCCACACGCAGTGCAGAGCTGCCATGATTCTCATTGTGTGGTATTTAGAGCCATCAGGATCTCAGATGAGAGTCAAAAGTGGAGATGAGATATAAAAGTCTCCCCCTTTTAATTGGCTTGACATTTTGCTGTAGAGGAAGAGCGCCC